CCAAATAAATGCAGAAACAGGATTCAGAAATCACTTTATTATATAAGAAGAGCAGATTAAGCACCATACATATCTGTGCTTTATGGCTGTAGTCTTGACTATATGAGGTGCAGGTCTAGTCAGAGATGAAAGGATCTTAAACTTTAGCTAACATTGTTACCACAGTGTGGCGCATAACACTGTAATTTTATGGTGGTGCTGCCACCATCAGGTGAAAGGAAAAACTGCAACGTACTGGCTGACGGGCCACTTACAACACACTATAAAACAGAAGCTGCGGGCCAATTAAAATCTCCCTGTGGGCTGCATTTGGCCCTGGGGCTGGATTCATCCCTGCTTTAATGGCAGCAAAACGTTTGGTATCACAATTATCCTTTGGAAATTCTCTTTTCCAGTTCGGTAATGTCCTCTTCCACACATTCACGTAAATCGTACATATCTTCTCTTTTGCCTTTGCTTTGAAAAATGCAAATATGCTGTGGCACATTGTAAAGTTTTTCAGAGGTATACTGGGCATAGTTACAGTTGCGGTGCAATAAAGGACCAACTGGGTGAACCCCTCTGAGCCAGTGCTGCATCTCTAGTTAGTTAAGAATACCAACAGAAGCTCGCTGATTGTGGTTGAAGCAGCTAATCTTCACCTGAATTTGTATTTCTCCCAAACAGACAGTATAACATCTCATAGTAAGATTATTTTCAGGAACACCCAGAATTATGATTTTGAGACAATCAGGTGGTCCTGGGGGTTAATTAGGGGGTCATGGACCTCCCAGGACCTCTTGCATTTCGCACCTTGGTTGTGGACTCTGTATGGCACATTATGCAAATTGTATTTTTTTTTTGTTTGTTTGTTTTGCAAAATGCAGAGTGCGGAATGTCTGAGAGAGTGAGGCACCAGAGAGTGAGATTTAATAACCATGATGCTGCTTACTGAATTGTTTGATGAGATATATGAGACTTCTATGATAATGTCCAGACAGAAAACTAAATAGGCATTTCTGTGATTTTATTGTTTTATTTTAGAGTTCTTACAGGCTTCTAGCTACAGATCTCATAACAGATCATTCTTCAGAGCACATTAACACAGTGCCACACTATAAATCCAAATGCTTAGGTTTTAAACATTTTTCTAATCAAAACTGATCAATTTGGTGTTTATTTGATGTTTCAGTCACACATTCCCTAGTTTGTTCTCAAATAGGAGAACAGCTCAGCTCAACACTGAGATGCTTTTAAAAAGTCTTATCTGAAAAATATTTAAAACCTAAATATTTTGGAAGTTTACAGGCTAATACCAACCGATCTAATTGACTTGATCAATCATGTTCAATATAGAGAGACAGAGCTTGTGCTTGCTCACCTCATCTAATGTCTTATTCTGCAAACATCAATAAAAAGACCTTTGCAATTCTGAACCTGGACCACACTCATGTAATGATGGAAAATAACAGGATGCATATACATTGGCCCCAAACTTCGGTATTTGGATATTTGTGTCATACTTAAAATTATCGTGTTAGGAAACAAAATGTCAAACCAAGCAGTATTTATTTTAAACAGGCAATACCACAACTGCCATTTCTCTTTTTGGCAAAGTGTACCTCCTGGTGTGTTTCAGATCATTATTGTTTGAATCATTTCTTTGCAGGTCTTTGTACACTTTTGCGTTTATGATCCCTTCAATGAACACAACTCATTGACACCACTGTAAGAAAAACAGCTCCGGACTTCCATGCTTCCACCTCTGTGCTTTACAGAATTCCCAGTGCAGTCTGGTTGGAATTCTTCTCCAGGCTCAGTTTGCTGTTGGGATAAACATTTTATGAAGTAACCTAAAGAACTTTAGGTTTACAAGTTGTTTAAAACTGGTTAAAGATATTTTTAGGGGCTACTGTATGTTAGAGGGGCAGTAGCTTTCTAAACATTTTTCCTATGCTAGAGCAGTTCTGTTCTAGCAACTCCACTACATTTTAAAGACAAATATACAATATACAATAAATATACTTTGTATTTATACTGTGCCTGAGTTGACAACCCCATGCAAATTTTCTTCAGAATTTTTTTCACAAATTGAGCTGCTGGGGTCTAGCTTGCCCGTAAACAGATCATGCTCATAATGATGATGCACTAGTTGAATTTGTACCTTATCTGTCATACATAAGAGACTGATAACCTGAAGATACAGTTGTGGTCCTGATCCTAAAAATAGAAGACCTGATTCATTTCTGTCACTTTCAAGCAAGTGTCTATTACATGCCCATCTTTCCTGTGTTTTCACACCTATGGACATTCCAGTGTGCTTTAATTATGTCACCAGCTGAAGGGATGAGAGTGTAATGAGACAGGTTGAGAATGACAGGTTGAGAAGTCAGACATTCTTCAGTCATTGTCTCCGTCTGCTCAAAGTTAGTCATGACACCAGAATACAATCTACAAACTTTGTCTTTTGGATGGTATGGTATAATGATTTCAGGTTGACTTTTAGGACTATGATCTTATTGTGAGAGGAAATATAAAAACTTTTTTACACTACTCTTCATGCAAAGAAATTTTAAATATTAAAAGTTAATCTACTGGTGGTTCTTGCCTTAGAGTTCTGACAATGAATGAGCACCAACACCTTTAGTCAATGTTATAAAAAAATAAAATAAATACATAAAATAAATAAATAAAGAGGACAAAACTACAATCATGGTAGCCATATCACTGATCTTGATGTGTTTTTTTATTCTAAAATCAAAAATTTTCTCTCTCAAAAGCAAAAATGACATGCAGTACTGTGCAAAGGTCAGAGACCCTTCATTTAAGTAATTTACAATCAAAACGGCTTTTACAAATTATTCAGTTTTCAGAGTCAGAAAAAAAGAGAAAGCTGAAAGCATGTGTTTAACAGAGGCCTTAACAACTAAATATAATACATAATTTTACCATTTAGTGTGTTCACTCTTGCCTTTTTTACAGCTTCTATTCTTTAACCTATTATTCTCCAGGGTATATTTTGGTTTGTCCTTCTGAATTTACATGACCAAATCGTAAGGCAAATTATTCAGTAACTGCATGAACAAAATGTAATTTTTTATTTTATTTATTTATTTATTTATTTTAAAGCTCCCCTCAAATTAACAGAACATATGTTTTATGATTATACACATATTGCTATATGCTTACAATTTACTGCTGAAAGCCAAAAATCTTAGACACTCTTTGTATTATTTTATAAAAATAATTTTTGCAGAGTGTATCACTGAAGAGACACCATCTGTTTATAGTTTATAGCCCAGATTTGTGGAAAAATGGGTCGACTTTCAGTAGACAAAAAATTGTTCAGCTTCTTCTATTATAAGGGTTTAAAATTACATTACCTATCTATTTGGAAAGAAGACAGTTACAGCTCTTATATGACACCCACTTTTTGAATGTAGCTTATGGAATATGAAAGTTATGAAGAATGTGACGAAGTGCGTTTTGGAACCACCGGTGATCTCAAGGAGTTGAAGAGGTTAAAGGAGGCTTGTTTTCAGTTTATCCAAAGAAATCTGCAGGGATATTTTTCACACCTCCAAAGTTCAGGCTTGGAAGTTGGTCACATTTTCTGCTTCTCACAATACAAATCTCAAATGCTACTAAGTGATGTTGAGGTCTGGACTTTTTTTATGCCAGTGGATTATCTTATATCTAATCTGTTCAGAAATATCTCCTGAAAAAAAAAGAGTTATTTGTACTTAAGGTTGTTTTGACTGGAAATGAAATAAATGAAGGGTGGTCTCTGAGTTCTATATGCGCTAATTTATGGATGGAATTTATAAATCCCTGTTTATGTACAGTATCTGCTTTTGCAACTTTAAAATGGTAGAAAAGGGGTGAACAGGGGACGTTGTCTGCCGTACCTGGGGTTCAAGGCTAATGACTTCGGGTGTTGAGGGTGTTCTGCCTGCTGATATCTGTTCTTGGATTTCTGCGCTTGGTACCATGGAGACCAGGATCTGCTCTTGGTAAGCTCAACCTAATCACACCTTGTCAGGCTCTTGGAATGAAGCGTGCACATAACAAGCAGGCTTTTATTAAACACTTCCCAGGAATCCAGACCTCCTCATATTAGCTCCTGTGTATGTATCTGCTGATTATTTCATGCCCTACTGCGCAGTTACCCACATTTTTAAAGCCTTCAAGTAGAGCCATTAAGGGGGTCTTCATCTTTCTTGTGTACACTTTTACAAATCAAGGTAGCTGTATGGTTCTTGTCTTTGGTGTACAGTGCTAGGGGGAAAAAACTTTAACCGGTGAGCGTGGAGGTTCTTTAAACTTTAAAAAGGTTCTTCAGACACAACTTCACAAAATCGTCCCCTATAAGCGGTTCTGCAATGACTCTGCTACAAAGAACTCTTTTGGCCCCTTTATTTTTTAAGAGCACAGAGATGGCTTGTTGATTCTAAGCAATCATCTCAAAATCTTTTTGAGTTTTAAAGAGAGAGCATAGCTAGAAGGATTATCTAAGAACTGTAAATAGGTTTTTCATATTTAGTTACATGCAGAACTTCACAATCTCATCCAAAGTCCAATCAGGACTTAAAACATCCGTCCTTTCTCTGAAAGAGCTTCATGGTTTAGTACAGTCAACCTTTACGTTCAGTTTAAATTACTTATGTGTTTTTGTACTAATACCCAACATTAGTTTATGGTCAGACCTCATGCAGTGGTGAGCTGACGGGCTACTTTATCCTCAGTAATGAGCTTTTGGAAATTGTACTCTGATAGTGGAAATGCGAGATGTGCTCCCATTTGCGCAAAGCAGACCTGACGTGTACAGACGACATGCTGTCAGCGCTGTTTTTTGCCTTTGGGCTGTCAGTGCGGTGTTATCGTTTGACCTAGAGACTTATTCACACCTGTAGAAAAATGGGGGACGCGGGGACGGAGGTGGTGACGTCACGAGACCATATCAGTCCGTCACTCGCATCGTATAAATGGACAAAGTTTCCAAGCAGCTCAGTGAAGCAATAAGCAGCAAGCAGCCGGAGGAGAACAGCCAGACTGAAAGAAGTGCGTTCATTTTCTCTGATCTAATCCACGCCAAAGCGTCCAGCACCATGGACAGCTCCAGAGCAGCCCTGTACCTGGGGGTCTTCATCCTCACGCTCAGCGTCGTCTGCCACGGTCAGGGGTCACTGGACAACCGACTGTCCGCACACGAGGAGCAGCTCGTCACCAGAGACTTGGTAAGACCGTAATCTTTAACTGAGGAATGATGAATTTACATTCGGAGGACTAGTTTACTGAAGTGCTCACACTGTACATGTCATTAATCCACTCATATTTACTGAAGTTGTTGGTTTCTCTACTAACTAGTTGTAACCGCTCCAAAAGCGTTTACACTCTGACCTGCTTTAGAAAGTTTATACTACACTGTCCGCGATGGTGTCTTTAAACCTTCTGTCTGTCCATTCTGCTCAGGCTGAAGCTCTCGGAGAACTTCTGGAAGGAGACGAGGACAATCGGATATCACTGGAGAAAAAAGCCAGTGTCATTCCGAGGGTAATTATCATTACTATTATTATTATTATTATTATTATTATTATTAGTAGTAGTAGTAGTAGTAGTAGTAGTAGTAGTAGCATTAGCATTAGTAGTAGTAGTAGTTTGTGAAACATAGTCAGTGATAACTGTTGGCTAACTAATTGTATAAGATTGTTTGAAGTTGGAAATGAAAAAAAAATAGTGCTGAATCATAAACACTGCGCAGGTGTAAAAAAAAGAACGTTAAAATAAACCTTATACACCGCCTTATCAAAAGGGTTCTAGACAGTACCAAGAAAAGGTTGTAACAATATTTTATACCACTTTGAAAAGTTTTTTAAACAATTTCCATCAAAGAGAAGAACCACTTAACCATGTAAAACAATTCATCTATTAAAATGGTTCTTCGAGAGTCTACGATTCTGTACGCTCCTTAAAAACATGGTTCCTCAAGGGTGATTTAGTAAAGACAATGGCTTTATACAGAACCATGAACACTCACCATTTGCATGATTAAATGTTTTTTTGCATGGTCAAATGGTTCTTCAGATTGATGAAGAATGTGTTGTTTATGGTTCTACATAGAACATTTTCGATAATGGTTTTATATATCCATACATACATCGTATACATTGTAACAATAGAAGAACCCTTTTTGGCGCTATATAGAACCATTTATAAAACCTTCTCCATCAATCTGGAGATCAATTTCACCAGCCGTTTAAGCACGCCAATGGTTCTCTGAGTGTTCAGGCTTCTATATATTATTACTGTTTTTCTTAAAGAACCCCTGAAGAACCGTCTTTTTAAAGAGTGTACAGAATCGTGGACTCTCGAAGAACCATTTAAGCGCGCAAATGTTTTTTTTTGAGTGTTCACGGCTCTATATAGAACCATTGTCTTTATTAAAGAGCCTTTGAAGAACCATCTTTTTTAAAAAGTGTACATAACTACTGCCTTTACTAAAGAACCCTTGAAGAACCATATTTAAGGGCCTCTGGGTTCTCTCGGGTTCTGCATAGGCTCTGTGTATAAACTATAAGTATCTTTAAAGCTGATCAGTCTATGACAACAAACCCCAGATATGAAGATGTGATAATAACGCCACAGTGTTAATATTAACCCTCTATTGCACAATGTTGCTGTTAAATGTTGTTGTTAAATCGAATATAAACAGCGTGCGTGTTCAAACTGTAGCTGTAGTTCATTCATCACTTTCTGTGGGGGGTCATTCTCAGAGGGGTTCTGATCACACTAAAGGAGTAGGAGAGCTTACTGAGCGGAGCTGTTGTGTTTGCAGTGTGATATTGGAGAGCGCTGTGCTCTGAAGCACGGCCCGCGCATCGGCCGCCTGTGTGACTGCATGAGAGGAACCGCCTGCAACACCTTCTTCCTGCGCTGCTACTGAACCCGCAGGACTACACTTCCCATCGGGCACTGCGCGACCACCTTCTCGGTCATCGTCTTATTCGTGAATTTATATGGTTGACGTCTTAAACTGTTGTGCTGTTCGTAACCTTGACATGTATGTGTGATTAAGGCATAGCTACGATTAAATGGATTTATTTTTGTTTAATAAAATGTCGTTAAGGCTCATTGATTCTGCATAATGTCTAATTAATTATGCTGGAGATTTTAAAAGTTTACAAATGTTTTTTTTTTTATTTCACAGTACACGTATTAAAACATCATAGGTAAAATAAAATGAAAAATATCTGTCATGTATTATATATAATATCCGTCATTCTATGTTCTGTGTGAAAGGCGCCCTCACTCGGGCTGTTTACACCAGCCTTCAATGCAATATAATCAATTCTTCAATAAGCCTTGTAATTAAGAAGGCAATCATCAAAGGGCACGGGGGGAACAACGTTTACCTTTAATACTGATCAGTGAGCCGCGCTGATCCAGCTTCTGCTGACCTGTGGTTTCTTATCTGAGTGGTCTAATAGGTTTTCTCCTCTGATGTCCTCATCAAGGGCTTCTGGCTTCTTGATGAACTTTACACAGCGGCAGTCTGACTCCTTTAAATAAATTCATCAGTAAATCAGAGCATGTTGAGGATTAATGCTGCTGTGCCCTTTTCTACACCACAGAAAACCTTACTCGGACGTTGACTCTGACCTTTTAGCCAATATCACAAGATAACAGGTCTGTACAGGCTGTGTTGACATGATCAATGGGTTTTCTGTCATTTCCTACGAGCCGGTGATGCACTGACATTTATTTCAATGAAACACCAAAGAACTGAGAGCATCGGAATAAAATTAATGTCCACAATCTCCTGTTAGCTGCTGACAGTATTGGTAAATCAAGACGGGAGGAGGATCGCACAGCTCAGAAACACTGTGCAGACATTTATAGCTCATATATGTGTGTATACAGGCCACAGTACCACTGGACGGTCAAATGACTTTTCCTTACACACTGAATAAACAACATACACACTGGGAGTGGGCAGCAGGGGAGACTAAACACACGGCAAATCCGCTTTGATGTAGAGAGGATTAGCCTACACTACAAGTCGCTGAAAGTGTAGGCTTCAGGACACAGGCGCTCAGGATGGAGGTATTATTTCATCGTATGTAAGACACACAAGAATATAAGCAAACTGAACTGTTTCAGTAAAGAGAGTCTCTCATCTTGGGCGGATATTTACGCTTAAATCATGTGGGAGACGCAGCAGCGGCGTTTCTCCCACCAGTAAACCGACAAAGCCACGCCCAACTGCGAGGTCATTGGTTAGAAGGGTCATATTTCCTGCGCTTGGATTGGCTAATAAAGTACGAACTACTCGCGCAGGAGGCGGGGCTTGTCTGAAAATAGGTGCGGAAAAATAACACTGACCTTCTGCTCCGAATCAGAAGCTCTAGGCTAATATTGTCCCTCACGAGTGGCGGAAAACCACATTATGCCAAATTTCACCTCGCTGTTGATTGTGGTTTGTGTAGTTTTATGTGTTACTACTGTGGGCGCGAGACCGCCAGAGAACCTGCCTTTGGAACCGACGGACTCCAGTGAGGAGACCAAAACAGACCTGGTGAGTGAAATGTAAACAAAACCAATGCAACCTGTAGACTAAATTAAGCAGGTTTATCGAGAAATTCGTCACTGTGTCCTGGTCAATGATCCTTCTACTCAGAAACATACTAATTACTGTATACTATAATGTAATACAGTATATCTTTAATATATCAAGGCAAAGATTTTGGTACTGAAATAAAGTTATTAAAAATTAAATATCGACAGTGCCACTGAAACAAAGGGCATTTTAACACAGTAAAGATGGCGCTGTTCTTGTTAGCTAAAGTGCTAGGCTAATGAAACTGTTTTATATTTGCAGACAAAATTCTCTAATGGAAACTTCCAGACAGATGGCGTGGGCACATTAAGGAAGAGGTTTAACCGTCTTCCAGGAGTGTGCAGGCGTTTGAAGAGAAGGAGAATAACAGTTCTGGTACTTCTATCCCATAACAGACCAGGGGCACAGCTAGAACTTTTAGAATGGGAGGGCCAAGTGAGACACCGAGGATTTACTGGGGTGGCACAAAGCTAGGAAAAATAATAGCAAAACTGTATTAAACTGACATATAAATTGATGGTTTGTTTTTCTCTGTAACTAAATTTGTCCATCATTTCACATGAATAAAATATTACATCAATACAACTATTGCTGAAAGTAAATTGAAAGATAAAACTGTTGATGTAACATACTGTAGTGATTCATGAGGAAATGATGTGTTTGAATCAAGTAAATTAAATGCATCACTTTTTTAGTTTACAATGAAAAACATTTTATATAGACAGGCCACAGAAGTTATTCATTTAGGTTGAATTCACTTCAGGTAATACATGACTGTAATGATCAGACAGCGAGCCAGACAGCACTGTATAAGGTAACCTACACCATATGCATATATTCAACTATTAAAAAAATTAGCATGATATATGATTATAGCTGACTAATTTTTGATAGTTAATGCATGTAACCATTGAACAGCCTTATTCACAATGTAGCTCACACAGCATCACTGCTGAAGGGACCCAGTGCACATTCACTCGCCTGTCACTGAGTAAATTAGCCCATCACAGCAAGATACGCTGATTATTAAATGCAGCATTATCAGACTCTCATAACTGACTGGTAACAACCCTGATGGCAGATTTTCACCATAAAGCGTAATTGATGCTTTATTAATGATGGTTGATTGATAGCTGACTGTCTCACTTTCCATAACTGGGGTGGCCAGAAGTGTGGCCATGCTGCATTCCCTCGGCTACACCTCCGTAACAGATAAACAATAATTTGCTGATTTATCGCCCATTCAAAAGGATACTAGGCCAGATGGTTCACAGGATCGTACCTCCAATAAGGCTTTAACCTACAAGCACTTTGTAGCCTAGTGCTCCACTGCACATTCAAGCAGCACTTAGTGGATTAGTGTGAAACGTTTAAGGGACTTGTTCCTGGTATACTGAGCATTTTTGGCTCTGCCAAGGATTATGCAATCACCATTCAGATGGCTTGGTGTTTGTGTAGGTGTCTCTTATTACACTAATTATAGAAGTGCAAGAACAAAGTGTTTATTTGTTCCTATGTCATTTTCTCTCCACAGTGCAACGTTGAAAAGTACTGCTCTGCTTGGAGGGACTCTCAGCATGGCCATATCTGCTCCTGTCCCAAAGCATCAAAGTGCACTCACTTTTTCTTAAAGAGTTTTTAATTTCATATTGCAGTGCTTTGCGAGAAAATGCAAGATAATACTCTTATCTTAGAGACGTTAACAGCTTTGCAAGGCATATGAAGTCATGCACATGAAACAAAGGCTAAAAAAAGATACAGTAAGAACTCTCTCTGTTTAATTTATTCCTCCATTCCCCCTTTAAATACAGAGAATAGGAAACATATCGCATCTTTCATAAAAAATACATTATCTACAGTTTGGGTGGGCCAGTAAAACTAGCCAAAGAGAAGACCCTAGCCAGGAACATGCAGCTGTTTCTTTACTTGTAATCCTGTGCAGCAACAAAATAGATGAGACATGACTTTGCAAACTGGCTTCACCCTGCCAGATCACACATGACCAGAGGAATATGGTGTAGAAAAATAAAAAGAACAGCTGTATCACTGGAAGCACAGGTTCAAGCCTGGCTTGTACCGAAGTTTAAAAAAAGATAGGTATTTACTATACATGTCTACCACTTCAAAAAGCAATTTAAAACAGAAACATGTGCATGTTATTCAACATAATGCAGATTTACTACATTTTTAACAGACAGATTAAAACAGCAGAGTTTTAGGTTGAGAGAAGTCAGCAGCGGCAATCAGTGCAGTGCCCAGCGCGTCATCAGTACATTGTACAAGTCAAATATTAAGCAGGCAAAACATTACACATACACTGAAAACTATGCACAGCATGACAGAGAGAACAGTGGTCAATCTGTATTTGATGCCATGGTGAAACCGACAGGGCTAGAAAAACATTCTGTATAATTTTATGAATTAAAAACTGAAAATTTGTAAATAAATTGAGTTGTGAGATCTGTAAATCTGACTACTTAATAATGGACATCTGAACATTTTCACAACTCTTATGTACTGGAAAATTATGTCTACAACCAAAGTGGCAAGCAACCATTTTTTCAGTGTCAATAATTACATTCAGTCCAGTATGATATGGAATACACTTTAAAAAATGCAGGGCCAAAGTTTTATAATTAAAAACGTCAGTTTCAGACACTTCCAAGACAAATCATATTTTTCAGATTCAAAGCCAAATACCACAAGTTTCCAGTACTTTTAAAACACATGGTCATTTGAAACAAATAAACTCACATACTCTCCCTGTACATAAGATCAGCACAGTGTTAGTGAAAACGTACCTTTAGCCATACACTATATGCACAGAAACAGAAACTTTTCCAAATCTCAGGTCTTAGCAAACTGTCAGTTGTTTCTCATGTAATGTCTGTTCGTGTTTGATTCTCCATTTCTTTTGGAGGCTGAATCCCCAATTCAAATCCTTGAAAGTTCACAGTTAAAACAAGATCACTGTGGCATAGCATGGATTACCTGGGAAAAGGGTCAATTCTGCAAGGAGGCAGAATCTGCCATCCACATTTAATGTCAGAATGTAAAGGAATCTTTCGTCCATTCAGCCAGCTGTGGCAAGTTTTGTGCAGGAGTGTCCACTGATCACAACCCATGCTGAACCAGTAAACCTGGGAGGTGAACTGGTTACTACAGCTGTGCTATAACACTGAAAAAATGCTGACCCTTGCTGTAACTTCAGAGGACTGGACCTCCTGATCAGATTTGTGCAACAGTTCTTAATTCAGTTTTAAGTACTAAATAGATTCTATCTGCCTGCGAACCTTTTCCGAGGCTTGCCGGTCTAAGGAGCGTTGCCGGGCGACCACCACTAGGGCAAAGATAACAGTGAGCCCCAGCACGGCACCTTCAAACTTCCAGAACAGGTGCTCCTCCATTGTTGCTGAGCGGCAACTACCAAGATACAAAGAGAGGACAGTAACTTAACAACTTACATTTAATGGGAACATAGCAGTTAAAAGACTCCACATCAGCTCAGTAAGGGTCAGGGAAAGAGCAGGACCGAGAGAGCAGGACTTACCTCTTCAACTCATCTTTGTTGGACTTGGTACAGTTAATCCTCTCCACATATCCTGTCTGGCGACAGGCCACTTCTGTCTTCTGGAGAGATTATGGAGGGGGATTTAATGCAAGCCAAAGGAACATAAGTGCCACTCACAAAAACAAACACTGGACTGATCTTTGGAGTAAATATATGCATCTAAAATTTAAACACACACACACCAAGATGATTCTCACCGTTTGGAAAGCATTACATAGGGTGCACTCGGCAGCAACTACGAACTCTTCCAGTTGCCAACATGGCATGGTCACAGACTTTGTTACTGCAATTAGGAAACATTAATATCAGCAACACAATTTTGTTAATGATATAGACGGCTGCATTATACGAGTTATGAGTATGTTCTAGATAGGCTACCTGCGGATTTCTCTTCACTAAGAAGTGCAGCCCCAAACACTCTGAAAGAGGATTAAAAAAAGGTGAAAAGTCACTGATAATCATCACTCATAAACTCGTGGCGTCTCGAAGTTTCACACTCGGTCTGCCCTCTGAGAGAAATTTCCGAGACGGAAACCAGAGACTTATCAGCCCAAATCAAAGGCTTTTGTAATCTTGCGGACTAACCTGAGAGACACCAGACCCCAGAAGAGCGCGTGCAGAGCCAGCACTCGGGGTCTCAGACAGGCCATCGGGATCCTGCAGTCGCTCTCCATCCCGCGGGCGTACGCGCACACACACCCCACCACTACCACTTATAGACGCTTCATAGCTTCACAGGAGCAGCTTCTTCATACAGAGCCAGACACGATCGAGCAGCCTGAAGACAGGAGATTTAGGAGGAAGCGAGGTGAGTGTCGTGTCGAAGACTGATCCACACATCAACAAACCAATTAACAACCAGTCAGAGTACAGACTGCGAAAGATGAAGAAACCCCAAGAAGAGCAAAAGGTGAAGTTAGCTTCTCTTTCGGATTTTCCCTTCCACCTTAAATGGCGCAACAGCCACTTCTTGTTGGTGCAGTAGTTACCAGAATGACAGGAATGTACCTGCTGCACCAGTTAAGGTAGACCGTAAAGTTCAGTGTTGTGAGGAGAGCTGGTAAGATACCTGATAGTCCTGACACACGTTCCTGTCTGTACAAACGTTACTGACAGTAAGGTAGCTTAGCTTACCTGTGTGAGATGTGATAATTAAGTTACCAATATTTTGCCTATAATTAACCAGCTTGAGGTTGTGAGGAGTGAACTCGGCAAACTCGGCGAAGCACCAGCTCTGGTTTGGCTAACCGCTCTTTAAAACATATACAGTTTGCTACGTTAGCTGCCAACACAAGTGACCTTCGTGACTGTAAAGGCCAAAACACGCTCCTGAGTTGCTCATTAACGTTACTTAGACCTGATTAAAGCTAACTAGCGCTTGCTACGTGTTAAGCTATCTGGCGCTGACGTGACTGTGTTTAGCAATGTGTACTGAAGGAAGCTCTAAAACACACAGCAGAGTCCTCACCTCACAGCACCACCGCCGCTCCGCGCTCTGATAACTCGATATGTCCCGAGATCTCTGAGCTCCGAAAGTCCGAAAACTGACACTTGAGGCCGCGTGGCGGGTCACTGTTCCGCTGTTTTTAACCCGATACTTTATTTACACAGAAGTGAAGACGTGACTATCCGCCATCTTTAACTCCAGCGTTGCGATGACGTCAAATCAAGTGAATGTGCATTTTTTTCCTTTAGAGAAATGTTAGAGCGCCGTCTAGTGGTTGTTCCCATTGAAGGGGAGCTCCACCGAATTTTTAAAAATTCTATATAATTCAATTGTGACAATTGTTTTTTATGTGAAATGTTTTATGAGAAACGTACTGTCTCGTACTGATTTTATTTACTTACTTTATCATAAACATTTAGTGAACTTACACGCGTTTTCTAAGTTGTATGTAATATATATATATATATATATATATTATATATATATATATTTTTTTTTATTATATAATTAAGATATTAATAAAATACTGTTTTTCATAAATTGCCCCTAGGTGTGAGTGTGTGTGTTAAACGTGTATGTATGTCTGTCTGTCTGCCCTGCGATGGGCTGGTGACCTGTCCAGGGTGTATCCTGCCTTCCGCCCAGTGACAGCTGGGATAGGCTCCAGCACCCCACCGCGACCCAGAAGGATAAGTGGTTTAGATGATGGATGGATGGATGGATGTTTTTCATGTACCTGCCCACCCAGCATGTATTTTAAAAAATACATTTTAAGCCAAAATCTTTTTTCTAAAACTATTGTAAAAGAATGTCTAAGGGATTAGGCAACAAATTCATCACCATTTCAAATAATACGTTCAGTGAGGTAGCTTTAGGACGCTTTAAACGCTTCAGACAACTGTTAAACACCAACACTGTGAATAATTCTGATTCTTTAAGTTCCCCTATTTTACATCAAATAACTCTAAAAGACTTTGTTTACCTCTTAACAATTGAATTCTGCAGAAATTGTGACATAATCGGTGCTTCAAATCATCAGACTATCCCACTCACACTGGACCCAAGTGAATGAAATGACCATTTGCTAAAGAACTTGTAGAGCAGCAACTGCTGCCTCCCCTGCTACGGTAGGACAACAGATGTTGATCATGTTGGACATACATCACCCTAAAATGTATCACTGCAGCACATGCCCTGACTGAAAGAGCTTAACTCACATGTCTTGACTGAGATATTCTTATTTACTGTAGCAAAAAAAGATGAAACTCATTGCTGTTTAGATATATTTCTATTTTTGTGCCTCAGTATTTACAGTGAGGTTGGTGAGTTTTAGGCATTAAAACCAACATGGAACCAATCTGGATAATAAAGAGACAAATGATCAAAAGGTGAAATGTTCCAAATAATCATAGTTAGTTCTATCCGCTTATTAGTCCTCTGTCACACAAAATTGCTGGTCATTCTTAAACAAAATCTGGATTTATTAATTTTTTTTTACAATCATACCAGATTAAACATACATATTTCAGAGCAAATTATCTCTCATATCAGCAGTTAACAATCATGTCAATGGACAGCAACAATAAAGGAAATATCACAAATTTTTAATAGTACCTTGGTGTACAGCTATGTATTTAAAGGACATAAGATTGATAAGTAAAGAACTGAACAAGGCAGAAGACAAAACTGAATAGGAAGGGGAGCCAAACAGAAAACGTAAGAAAAAAAAACAAATGAACAAAAGGAAACAGGAACATACAAAACAACATGGCAGAGTGAAATGTACGTAGGTGAGAAGAAGATAGAAATATTTTGCCAAGAGCATATATTGTCCATACATGAGTCTGTGCAGGTGCAAATGTGGTTACGTATAAAACTCCTTCAGGATTCTGTTTACTCCAGTTCAGTCCATTTAGAATGATTCATTAATGCCATGATTAGTAGCCCAAACAATTGCTTAGGTCTACCTTTGTATCGTAAACACATCAGTGTGCTCTAGCTACGTAGATAAGGCAGAGGAGAGCTGCTGCTCCTGCCATGCTGTTGTTTACCCAAACTGGCTGCAGCATTTCTTATAAAGCTGGATTCCCCTCCCAAAGTTGCATGCATAGATACTGATATGGAGCTCATGCACAAAGACTAAAGTCTTATATCAGTCACTTAATCTTGATCACATCTGTTTAATCAAACTGCCAAACTGCTTCTAGCATTGTATGGGGAAATATGAAAATATTCAGTAGGTGCTTCACAGGGAAAATATTGTGTGACAGGCTGATATTTGATTCAATAATGGCCCACGGCCATTACATGCCTCCTGAATTGGGGGTAAGTTTAATAAAGTTTCTAGAAAAAAGCTATACTGGAAAAAAACATCACTTGATGGGAATTTCAGAAACTAACGTAAGCAAGTAGAAATAGTAAAGAGATCATAACATACCTGTACAGTCTTAAAAATAAAGGTTCCTTAATAATTCTTGGTTTGGATGTACAATTCTAGGAAAAACCTTTAACTGCTGTAGAACCTTTACGTCATGTGGAGGATCTTTTAACTTTAAAAGGGATCTTTACATTCACCGTCTTATTCACTAAAATTATGAATAAGAAAGTGTTTTTTTTTCTATTATATCACTCCAAAAATGTTTTATTTTTAAGAGTGTAGGCCTCTCATTCAGTAGGGCTGCACCACTTGATTTGGGCTGAAGTACATGCAGGATGAAAAAATGGGCTGCAAGGCAGATAGGGAAGAGGCTAAAAGGACAAGAACAGGGCATATAAACAGCCTCTATGACTAAATCCACTAAAAAAGAAAAGGTAAGCTTACTGCCGTATGCTATTATTCCACCTGAAGGCATCCTAGCCTTCCACTAACATGCACTTTAATGCAGCTATTTCAGTAAAGGAATAGTTATTTTCTAGTTCTAATTTTGATTCTTCTTTTTTTTTTTTTGCACAGTGGGCTCTTGAGAGACAACTGAGTGACAAGAAGGTGTACCCAAATCTGTGCAGTATAGAAAGCGCCGCAACAAGCTATGGAGTTACCACAATGCATGACAGAACCCTGAGTGCCACAGCAGACCAAGATTTGGTTCATTCTTCCCATCCTGGGCATGTCCTAAGAAGTAGGATGCAAGGCCATGCAACAAACAGATCAGGAGTTTAGGAAAAAGATGATGCTTTGGTCAAAACTGCCATTTGTCCCTTTGTCCAGCTTGAGTCCATCATGATGAACTGTACTGTCGTCTGTCCTTCGCACTTAGGACAGAATTAGCAGAACAGCACAAGGTTAAGGGTATGCAGTACATTCAGTAGAAGCTCAGTGACACCTTGTGGCACAAAGGACGCTGCATCAGCTCAAAGTTTAAAAACGAGAACAGAGAGCGAGAAACCCAGTTTGAATTCATTTGAGAACCAAAGCCCTGATCTCAGAACAAATAGAAATCTACTGGAAGTCTACTGATCAAAACAAAACAAAATAAAAACAGAAACAGAAACATTACTGGCATCACAGCATCAAGAAATAAATGCCAGAATTTTTTTGTATCTACAGTTGACTGCCTTTTATAAAAGAGACTGCAGAGGTGAAAGTAAGTGAGACAGTTTTAAGTGGTCAAGTAACAGTGCTCCACCCACTCTCATCTGGAAGACAGAAAAATAGAGATACTTTGCCTCTGCAAAAAGCTTTGCTTTCTACTGGACAAGTTCTTATAACTTTGATCTCCTTCGCATGAAGTATCAGTGTTTTCCCAAGAATGCCTGGTTGCCATGAGAATGCCACTGTTTGCCCACAAAAGCTGTGAGACAGTTTACCTAAAAAGACAGCGAGAACACTTGCAATGATAATCAGACTCATGAGTCAGAATTTAAAAAAGGATGCGAACACTGAGTATGGGTTATGTGTTTGGTTTAGAAATGAAAGAGACAAACATCTAATGTAGCTGAGGTCAGAAACGAGAAAATACGCAACTGTAACACATTAAAAAACATATGCACACCCAAAAGGAGTCCTTACAAGGTGTGGAATTGAGCAGAAACAAAAGGCAAAGACACAAAAACATAAGGGATAAAAGTCAGCGTAGAGGTAGGCAAACCCATGTGATAATGTGGGGACAGCTGGAGCAGTAGGCTGTAAGAATCAGCAGAAGGGTTTTTGCAGCGTTTGTGATGTGGAAGTTTAAGCTGAGTGTCTATTGGCTGCAGTCACTGTGGGGCTGCTGGACGCACACAGTCCCCCTGTTCTCTCCTGGTGTCAGTCCATATTCCCACTGTCTGACTGGGAAATGTTGAGCGTGTTGGCAGAGGGAAAAAGCTCGCGTTGGTCAGTTGGACTTTGGTAGTCAGAGGTGAGGTCAGGCTCCAGCAAAGAGGACAGGGTGAAGTGGGAGGAGCCTTTTTTTAGGCACTGAGAATAAAAGTTTAACAGCAGGTCCAGCTTGTTTTCAATTGACTGCACCTGAGACACCAGAGAAAGACACGGTTAGAGGCATTTCCTTGTGGAATTGATCTAAAGAATTTACAGCACTGTGTAGTATCTCAGAAGTTTCCAAAACAATAAGAAATGAAAAAAAAATGGAAAGAAAATGGAGAAAGAAAAGGAAAGACAATGTCTAAAATTTCATAAAATTGCATACAAATGTCATAGACACACAGCAATGATTACACTGTGTGAATTCTGTTCACAAATAGATCTGTTACTGTTCAGAGACGTCATAAGCAGGCATTTTATAGATGTGTTGATTTGTGACAAATCAGAACTGGGTCAAAAAGTGGTGACACAACTATTGGCAGATGTAGTTTTTTTAACTGTACTTTTTTACATGAAAAGAGACAGAAGGTGATTGGTCACTTCAGTGATATAAAAATACAGTGTAATATACAGAATTCTATTTCTTTGGATTCTTTTGAAATTTGGCTAGGAAAATAGTTCGAAACAGTCAGTTTCTGTAAAAAACAAAAACAAATAATTCACCAATTATTTAGGGCATTTATATTTTTTTGTTTTTCTCTTGAAACAAAATATTCATTACTTGGCCACGCCGTACCTGCTTCTCCACTTTAACTACACGTCCCATCATGCTCAGCTCATCCATCGGATCCAGTTCCGGAGGAGTCTTTTCACCTTTTTCTGTTCTCACCTTCTTATCAGATTGGACAGCTCCGCGGCCAACAATCTGATCTACCCTTTTTATGCAGAAAAATGTGTCAGTGTAGTCTGGAGTTTTCTAATTTCATTCTATGGCTGCTTCATATGTATTCTTTAGACTTTTTTACACATCTTTGAAAAGTTGGTGTCAAACACACCTCACTATGTTATCCTACATATCACAAGGCTTCATGCAACTTAAAAAGTGAATGTGCTCTGAAACAAACACAACTTCTTATTAAACCAAACCTTGTCTGCAGGCTCTTGATTCTGCCCAGCATGTCCAGGTGTCCGGCCGAATACTGCTCAATTACATCCTTCACATCATATGGTCGTAGTGTTTCCTTAAACTTCCGTTTGGCTACCAGGAATTTGAGGATTCTAAATAGAAACAACACACACACACACACACACACGCACACACAATCTGAGCCAGGTACAGAGGTACAGTAAGAATAAGACTGATACAAGGCTGCAGGGGTCTTTATTAAAGTGTACTTTTGGGCTTCTTATGGAAGTATTAGCAAAACAGCAGAAATACAACGGTAACTAGTTGATGGATCTGTACTTCTCTGAGTATTTTCAAATTGTAAATAGATCAAATATATTTGTGAGTAAACTCCTTTTACTGTTTGACTTTTGGTTCCTAATTTGTATCCATTCACATTTAGTTTCTAAATCCCTTTTTGGGTTTAATTTCATTCTGATCTGTTAGTTCAGCACATGGACTGCTTTGCTGTTGCTTACATCATTTACTTTCAGACTTTAGCATTTTATTTTACATTAAGAGGGTCCCAAAAAAGAGAGCCTAACAAACTTCAGTTCCTTTACTGATAGTGGCTGGATATACTCAGAAGTTCCACTCCAGATCTATAGGGAACTCTACTTGTACTTTTTTTTTAAGAATGCTCCAATATGGGACTTGTGGGCCGACACCGTTATCCAGTATTTTTTGTATGTATATATCTGCTGCTGATGATACATAAACATTCATAAAATGTAGAGATTAAAACTAAATCCACCTGGAGTAGCAATAAAAAGAAATGTAACATTTATTTCTGTAGGCTTACAATGACAGTAACATGAATAAAATGCAGATATTTTAGCACAGCAGCCTATTCTGTTCTTGCGGTGTGCAAATACATCATCACATAACAGTCTGAAATATCAGTCACATCTAAACATTTGATTTTCAAGCAAACAGCTGCTGATTAAAGCTGCTGAAAACGATGCTTTCAATTATATTTGGATTTAGACAGTACAGATTATATATTACTGGACATAGTCAGAGATGTGGCCAGATTCTTCAACCGAACTGCTTTTGCCTAATGCCTGAGAGGCCCGTCATAGCTGACAGAGATGAAACTGTGCAAGGTTTGTTTCTTTCATCAACCTCGGCTCAGATTCTCCTTATTGTTCTCTATTACTTCATGAAGCTGGCTTGACAAAAAGCATAGAACACACCAAATGTTAGCATCAGCAAACATGTGCACTCAAACTGCCATCCTGTGCCATGATAGATTACTCCAGGAGTAAGCGAGGACAGAGAACGTGAGCAGAGGAGGCTTTTTTTCATAGAATATCCTATCTCCTGTTAGCAGAGTCCTGCCTCTATTTAAGAGAATATTCTTTATTAGGGGACAAGCGAGGCAGAGCTTCCCAACTCAGGGGCTCCTAACCCTGCTGTAAAGCCATGTCCAGCCAGCAGGGGGAGAGACTGGACTTGGATAAGAAGAAGCACTGGCTAAAGCAGGTGAAATAAATCTAAGGGCCAAGATGTGTTTAAAAAAAGAACCATTGTTTTGCAGGAATAGCTTGCGTGTGCGAGTGCCGAGCTGTGCATCTCTGCCTGGGTGATGGTGCCGTTTCTGCTGGCGGGATGCAAGAGGAACTCTACAGCTGGTGCCTCAGCACACGTCAAGCCCCCAGAACCCAAGTTTCTTGATGACTCTTGAGTTTAGGGTTTTTGCAGGCTGCATTTTTCCCCCCACAAATTTTGCAGGTAGCTGCACATTTCGCTAGGGTGGGTCTCAGGTGCGGATTAAAGAGAGGGTAAGGAAAAAGAGAAGGAGAGAGGGAAAAAGCAAAAAGAAATCCCATTTATTTCCTCTCTCCAAGGGTTTCCATAAAATGCTGACTCTCTGTGTCAATGGCAATGCACTGTAAGGTATCGTTATACTGTCAGCCTTTAGACTACCCCACCCCCGAGCAACCTTTAAGTTGGTGCCCCTAATAATAGCTGCAAGAACACTGGCACCTGGATACTCCTGTATCCAACGTAAAGTGTAGGCTGTGGTAAATGTGTATGTGAAGTTATCTGAAATCCAAAAAATGACACTAATAATTGTCTATTATAAAAAAAAAGTTCCACTGCATTATATTATAAAGGGGCTTAAAGCATGGATTTTATTTATTATTCTGAGAGTACATTAACTGTATTTTAGAAATGAGCAGGGCTTTGGTAAGTGTGCACAGTTTAGTTCATTTTATCATTGTAAGGACATCTGGTGCAGGTCTTTTTCTCCTGTGTTCTGGAACATCTCGCTGAGCCCAGCTCACGCTTTCCTGCAGAGGAACGCTGATGAACTGTAATACTCTCTTTAAAGTGAAACCTCAGCATTGTGTAAAGCTAAAATTTGCTTGCTTCTAAAGGACATCAATCTTATCCAGGGAGCCTTACGTAAAATGCAAAATGCTGTTCTGCCACTGGCAACAATGCACCTGTGAGTGCTGCACACCTGGAGCTTTGTGTTCTGTGCGTTCTTGAAGGCTGTGACCAAGTCAACTAAACTGGTCAGGCCAAAAGGCTCAGATTTAAGCTGCGATAATTCCGCTCAGTGAATGGTACTATGTGGCATTCATGGGTCAGATTAAGGTCAGATTGAATAAGCTCTATTCTGAAGTCTACCATGCACACTAGCAGAAGTTAGCAGTAAGACTGAGCATAGTTCAGGCAAACAATACACCTGCAGGGTGCAGAGAGCCATGTGTTGACTCAGGCTTTGAGTATCCCAGTGTTTATAATTCTTTAAATCAGTGTATGTTCACATGTCCACATACAGTGTGTTCATTTGCTTTGCTCTGTTTTTGATTTTTAAAGAAACATGTATTTTGTTTGTTTATTTTGAAACGTGTCAGACAGAGGTGTAATAGGATTTCATATTATGTGAATTTGACAGACTTTCAAGTGGTACTGGGAGGATCTTCTCAGCTGATTTAGATGGTATTTGTGGGAAGTGAAACATGATAATATTGGTTGATATTATTTTCCCTGCCCACTGGTGCACAGTGATGTGATAAAAACTCAGAAGACTTTTTAAAGCCAGGCAAAAGCCATCACACTTCGATCTATGATTAAAACAGGAATTTTGTTTTTAAATAAATGATGTATGAGGAATCCTGCTTAATACCACAGCTATGAAGGCAAAAATGTCGGTTTTGATTTAAGGTTGAAACCAAGCCAAAAAGACAGATTTCACAGAGGTTGACCTTCAAAATGCCTCTTGAAAAGGAGGCAAAGATACAGAACAAAAATTATACAGTACTAAAATTGTTTAAAAAAAGTTTTTGTACATTTTATTTTCTTAACAATCTCTGACTACTTGCATTTTTGCACATTTTATTTCTTTAACAATATCGGCTGCTAGAATACTGTATCAACCAAATACTGTATTCCATTGCTGTTCTGGTTGTTACCTCAGTGACAGTTATGCTCATATATGCTAGACTATCTGCTAATATGTCACAATCTACATGTTCTCAGCACCGTGTACTGCCTGTTTTGTTTTGTATTTGTTGTTAGTCTTTTGTATTTATTGCACTGTATTGTCTGCACTGTGTATATTGTATTATTTTGCACTTGTGTTTCTGTGTTGCACCATGATCCTGGAGGAATGTTGAAATGACAATAAAGCCTCTTGAACTAAAGCCTCTTGAACTTGATGTTTTTTGTAAACAAACAAAAAATCTGTTGCTGGAGATAAACTAAGAAAATATCCCATCTATCTGGATGTACACTGGAAATTGGCTATTCAGAATATCAGAGTGTGCTGTAAACCCTTTGATTTTTATGGCTATGCTTTTTCATGTTCTCCCATAACCTCTGCATGACACAAGAGCTGAAGGATTATCTTCTAATTATTATTTAGCAGGTTTTGAGTTTTGAGCCAGTATAATTCTTTTCCTTGAAAAATGAAAACTTAAAAAGGTGGTCCTAAAAATAAACATTTTTCACAATTCTGTTGGAGAAACAATGAAAAGTGTTTATAATACTAAAAAATCATAGAGATTAATGAGTAAATTAATTACCTCTATGACACTGTTGGTCAAGTGCTAAAACATTTTTTGCTAAAAATTTAAAACAATACTTTCAATTATATTTGGATTTAGATATGTAAAAGCAGTGGTCACTAACCCTCCTCCTGGAGATCTACTTTCCTGCAGAGTTTAGTTCCAACCTGCATCTAACATGCTTTGCCTCCCTCACCTAACACTAACATAGCTGATCCAACCAGTCAAGAACTTCCAAAGAAGTTAATTAGCAGGTGTGGCAGATTGGATGAACTATAGGTTGCAGAGGAAGGCAGATCTCCAGGACCAGGGCTGGTGACCACTGTGTTAAAGCTACACCTTTGTAAGTTTGGGGATTTTGAAATTTCTCTGGCAGAAATATGTAATTTAACTCAACTGCGAAAGAACATTTTTAACGTCAACTGTGTTTCGACTGTGTTTTTGCATTTGAGACTTAAACATCGATCTCTGACTTTTAAATTACTATTACTATTTTAGGTTTTATATGGTGACTCACAGCAACACACTCACATTGTATTTTAGTGTGTTTTTTCTCCTAACTCAGTAATGCTACTTCTTCAGAACTTACATAGTGCAGCTTGAACTTCTCATTTCAAAGGAGCTTCTCTGTGTAGAATTTTTGGGGGTGGTTATTTGTGCTGCTTTAGTGGGCTGAGCTTCCTCCAACCATCGATGCACGCCACAAGACAATAACTATACCATGATGTGTAAATTAATTAGCTGATGCATGACAAACTTATCAACTGTTGTGAGGACAAACACTCATCAGATAGAACAAGTCAGCATTCAGATCTTTTATTACTTTCTGCTTTTTAAACAAAAATCCGAGCTTGTAGCTGATGGCTGCCATGGCCCTTATGTACATCATCCTTCATTGTCATTGTAATTGTGATATTAATAGTGCTTGAAGTTTGCTTCTGAAAAGGTCAAGGCTGAGGAAGCATGTTCTATGCCAAGGGTCCTTTGCAATAAACAGCTCATTCAATAGAAAGCCAAGGTGACGTAGATAAAATGTTCATTTATTTCACTAGGGCCATAAGAATTCTCCTCAAAGACTGTAATATTGCATGTAAGAATTGGAAGCCAGTGTTTGAACAGTTATTTGACTAGATTTAGGCATTTTATACCTTAAATTGGCAAAAGAAATAACCAGATTTCAGAATATAAATTAATCTAGAAGCCCAACTGGGAACTTCAAAACTGACCACCAAAGCTACTAGACTCACCTAACGGCTCGAATCAGGGTCTTCACTGCCGGTATAACATCCTCCATAGCAACATCACAGTACGACTTATCCTCTGTGCTCTCTTCTCCAACTCCCTCTACTACAAGAAATGACAGAAGAGAATGTTAGGTGTTTATATGAAAGTGAATGTGTGCACTGCTGTTCATGGCTGCGTTCATATTCAGACTTTGTTGCTAAATTAGATTTTTTTTTTATCAGACCCAATCATTCCGCTTTGACAGTTCACATTTGTGTTTGTAAATGACCCATAGGCCCAGCTGTGATTAGAACAGTCCCCTGCTCTGTACGTGTTTTTTTAAAAAGTTCACCACTGCCTTACAAATCTGAAAACAACAGATTATTTTGTTCACACAAAAGTCAGACCTGTTTCATATTTAGCTGAAATCAGATTTGTGGCCTTTGTGCCAACCCATAATGTGAACGTAGACTATGGTAGCACTTGCGTACCATCTGCGGCAGGACGAGGTTTGAGGCGGAGTGAAGTGCGGAATCGGGTTCGGTCGTTGAAGCTCCAGCTTTTCTGCACCTTTCCAGGGCTGGTGGCTTCAGGCACGTTTTCAGTGCTGGGTGAGCGGCGCACACTCCCTGGGGGCACAGGGGAAGAAGCCTTGCCCCGGATTGCCTGAGTGGAGCGGGAATTGTTCATCCTAATGCGGTCCCGAAATGGAATCTTCCCACTGCCAGCATATTTAGAACAGTGTATTCACAAACAACAGACTGATATTGCCAACTGATAAATGAAGTCAGTACATTAAAAAGTAATATATTGTAGTTATACTGTAGATTATAGAGGAAATGTTCTTAATAAGCACATGTAACCCATAAGCCCGCTTGTAACATCTTTTTAGATCAAGATATTTGTGTCTATGTGGAAGAACTGTTGTGAAAAAATTAAAAATAGTGATCCTCGAAATAAACACTTTTTGGAAATTTATTAGAAAACAATGACAAGATGTGATAATACTATATACAAAATATTAAGACAGGATAGAGTTGCCCATTTAATATGCTACTTCCTATTTCAAACGAGCTCTCTGAGGTAGTGGATTGTCAGAAGTCACATGGCCAACAGTAGTCTGGACACTTTGGGTACTACTCAACAAAGTAATAGCTCAAACTTTTTGAAAACAACTAAAACATGAGTATGTGATTGTAAACTCTGTGTTGAAGCTTTTTATTTGAGGTGAAATAAGAAAAAAGTCACACTGTTCTATAACTTTTTTGTTCTTACAGTGCTTGAATTGGAGCAGTTCCCAGCTAAGAATTTTCTTAGTCAACCAAAATGCCTGATTTTTGACTACCAGTCATCTGCCACCCCAGCATCACTCCAGCAAGGTGCAAACTAATACATAACACAGTACTGGTAAAATTACACATTTTTAGCATGACTAGCAATGCCTTTTTTAGAAAGTGTTAGGTCTACATCATATTGAACTGTAAGTTAAATGTGAACAGTAAGCTCAGTAAAGTAAAACAAAGTTTAAACTTAGATTGACACTCACTATTTACATAATTCAAACTTCAAAAATATCTAGTTCTTTGAAATAATTAAAAGACTGTGAGAATCTTAGTTGATCAAGAAAACTATGACTGATAAGACAACTAGTCAACCTCAAGTGAACAGTCCTTGCTTGAATGCGTGAAATGTTGAAAAAGATTACCAACAGTTCCCAACTTTTATTAATAAGTATATTATTAGTCCTTCTTAAAAGTGTGCTGCTGTTGTTCATGTATTTTCAACGTACTTTAATACAATTGACTGGGCTTAGTGGGTACAAAGGTGGGCTTAAAGGGGTCTTTAATTGTAAAATCTATATGATAAACATGTTTACTTAGAAATATGTTTGCATTTTAGTAGGGACTGCACAACATGCTGGCTGATTTTTTAATACATAAAAATAAACATTCTTTTTTAGAACTCAGTCGGGAAAAAGTGATTCTGTTTAGGTAAGAATATATGAAAAAAGACAGACAAATGAGCAGAAAACAGGTATAGATGTGTTAAACAATGGTTAGCAGTTAAGTAAAATGGCATTAGAGACAAAGAAAAAGACCCGTATTTTGTAGAAGTTGAAATTTCAGAACACTTTAAAAATTCTACAAAAACACAGTCGTGATAGAACTGCAATCATCCAAAGACTGGTGTGCCTCAGTGACAGGACAGTTTTCAAAGAGTAATTCTAAAATAATACCTAAATATAATACAACCTACAGTTGCACGTTTATCATTTATTGTATGTACACAAATTAAAATGTACATCACTGTGACAAGTATATCATACTGGCTGAAATGATACATGTTTAGCTCTTGTAGAGGACTGCTGCATAAAACATTCACAACTCCCTTTACTGAACAATAAGAAATGAATAGTAACATGTTAGGTGTGCACTCTGTGGTTAGTCAGCCATTTAAATGAATATTTAAATCACTGAAGGAGCATTAGCAAATACATCAGCAGATTTAGCAGTTTCATTTCACTAGCTGAAATGTTCTGTAAGATTCATAATTACAAAGGAGACAAAGTGGATTAACTCACATCATGCTACAGGAACAGGCACTAACAGAACTAATGCAGTAATGCTCAAGCAATGGCATGCAGTTTAAAGATGGTTGAGACACATACTACTGAGAACATTCATGTTAGCAGATCTCACAAGCTGAGGTAAGCCGTTCAAACTGAGAAGTCTGTGAACACAATGTTCATTTACTGCTAACACAATAAGTAGAACATTATATAATATAATAGATGTGCTCGAGAGAGGGACTGTTGTTAAAAAAAACGTCCTCAGAGCATTATAAATGTGGTACAATAAAATCATTTCTGCTCTAAACTATATAATTCATGCAAATATAATTCTAACTGCCAAACCTTTGTAATAACTGCTGTAGCAGGGCCACAGTCACATGCAACAGAGCTTAAGCCTGTTATGCCATTAATGTGTACGCAGGACTGGCCCAGGCTGAACATGCGAGTCATAAGTCTGGCCCAAGGGCCACCACACTCCAAACAACGAAAGATCTAAGCTACACCAAGACTCATAATTAAGCATGCATATCTTGCTTAGTAACTACACCCTGAGTTCTAAACATTCCTACATCTTCATTACGTTCAAACATGCTAGAAACGTTCAGAGAGCCAAGTCTCACATGAGTTAAAGACATATAGTCGGCAATGCTGATCCTGGCATCCAAATAAACCATGATGAACAGCAATTTAGTAAACCTTGAAAAACAGCAATTTAATTACATCTGAACTCATGGTTTATATTGACCTTTTGAGCACAGGCAAACCTCAAGCAGAACTGTACTCCTCATCTCTCGTCTAGTTCTCACACGCTACAGGCCACATTCAGAGATTACTGAACCAGAGCCACCTTTGTTCTTGTAAAGAAATGTTAGGAATGTGCCAAATCCTAAAGTAATGCTTTTTAACGGAGCTGTGCACTGTGTCCTTTAGTCATGATGCAAAACAATGCTCCGAGTCACAAGAATATGTGAAGCTATCGAATGTTTGTTATCTATTATCTAATATTCTAAAACTATTTATAAATGGGCATCGAAACTGATTTCAAACACATTTTATTACTCAGTGAATGAACCATAAAAATTCAATTCACTAATGGAGGTGGAAGGAACAAATTGCTGTCGTAAGAAAGCCTTGTATCTCTGAAAAACTAGCTTTATAGAAGAAATTCTTTTGTGTTAAAAAGAAAAAAAATCTTAATATGAATATATGTTCATATATGTACATATATATATATTTCAGTTTTATTGCAAGTAATTTAGGACCACTTCTATCGGTCTATTTATCATAAAATATTCACACAATGTAAAGGGTGGGAGCTACGAGGTTTTGATATGACAGCTATAATACTTTTGTAAAAGAGCACTCTTTTATTGTTGGGGCTCGCTCAGCCAAGCAGCTGCTCTGGGCCAGTAAGACTCTGAAACGGTCAGGCATAAGAGGGGGAGTCGTGCCCATTGTGTAGCAGGCACTGTGACAAGGATACCTCTGCTTGCAGCCAGCATGAATCCGGAAGAAACCCCGCTTTTTAGATATGAGCTGACTGAGGAGACACACAAGGCAGAGGGGGAAAGCGTGAGGGCTGTGAGGGGAAGTTGGCTGTGGCAGGACACAACAGTTACACTTGTTTTCTTTATGTGGCTATCATCAGCTAATTCCACAGTCAGAACTGATTCTTGATTAACTTAACGGTACGTTCACAGATATGCAAGGTATGCCACGGGCACTAATGGTGCTGTTCCACCACACGTTTGTACGGCGACTCTACTCGACTCTACTCAACTCTACTTGCTTTTGGTAACACATACATACCATATACCCCCTTAACATAGCCGGTCATTATAGTGATGCTGCATGAAACTGCCGTGACATGAAGGAGACAAATTTTGTTCATCAAAAGCTGATGGCAGCAAGAAAAAAGACTGCTGAAAAAAAACAGGAGAGTTTGGGAAATACTACATCAGAGTTCAGATGACGGGATGATTCTGGTTGCTCAAAGGCAATGCAAGAGGGTACAGGAACCTGGTAGCCAATGTTAGCATTTGTGTATAGGGTGACAGTGACGATCCTATCAGTAGTCTGCAGTTTTTCCACATCACCTTTTACTATCAGCTCAGCTTGCTTGGAACCTCAACGAAGGTGATACCAAAAATAGTACCAGGCAAGGCGAGTAGAGTTCAGTTGAGCCGGTACCATGGAGTGGAAAAGTGGCTAAATACACCCCATACCATAACAGACTCTGTTTTTCTAACGTTACGGTAGTAAAAATTTGGATTGTTCTTTCTTTTTGGCCTGAAGAACGTGACATTTTGACTGTGCAACAGTCTATTTCTGATTAACCTGAGCCCAGAGAAGTCGTCTCTGGACATTGTTGACATACACAGTGCGCTGTGCATTGTACAGTCTTGAGTTGCATTTGTGGATGCAGCAATGAACAGTATTTATTGATTGTTTGTCATTTATTGATTGTTTGTCAAGTATTTCCGAGCTTATGTGGTGATCAATCACAGAAGCCTGCTGGTTCAGAGGTCACATGCATTCAGTTATGATTTCCAGCCTTGTCCTTTATGCATAGAGATTTTCTGACTTCTCTGGATGATGATATTATGCATAGTAGGTGAAATACCTAAAATCCTTGCAATCACTCCTTGAGGAACACTGTTCATAAACTAGATTATTATATCTATATTAAATAGATTATTTGCTGATGCATTTTTTTTAAGAAAATTGACCCATCCTTGCTAGTTGAAGACTAGGCCTTCTTGGATGCTCCCTTTATACCCAAGTATGCAGGGATGGGGGAGTAGCTAAGTAGCGTTACTTTTTGTAGTTAGCTAAAATTTTTTGTAGCTAATAGCCATAGCCGCTACCGTTTTATGAAATGTAGCAAATAGCTGTAGCGCCTACAGATTTTTCTGTAGCTATAGCGAAAACTTTCGCTACAATTTCGCTACAGCCATCATGCAATCCGCACAAAATCTGAACCATAGAACACGGCCATTAACTGGGCTGGTGGCCACTGTGCAATCCAGACTGAGCCGCGGACAGTTTGAGCAAATGGGAACGGGCTGATCACCCCTTACTATAGTAAGCTTAGCGCAGGGGTCGGCAACCCAAATGTTAAGAAGAGCCATTTTGTTCTTTCAACAAAAATCAAACCAACAACATTTTATGTCTGTTTTATCATCTTGGCTGTAAGCATATCTCAGTATGTGCTGATAGCACAGGCTAAAAATATAACGAACACAAACGCAGACTTTGCTCTGCTTTAATCTTTAGCTCAGCTATAGCTGCTTTTCTCACATCTCAGGAAACTTCTCTGCAAGTTTCTTGTAAAATATCTCTCAATGTTCGACTTTTTACGTGGCTGAAGTCGCTTCTCAGTCAGCCTCAGCGTGAAAGGTCGGTGAATTAGCAGTTATACGTTAACTCAAGCATTTAAGTGTTTATTGTGAAAACTGTGTTAGAACTGTGTGTTATAACATTTTTACAGCAAAGGAGGATTATGTTATTTTACCTACAAACCTAGTTCTGCCGCGGAGTCACAACAGCTCTGCAGCAGTGGAGAGATTATTCAGCTGCGCAGGCCTGATTCTCACCCAAACCAGAGCCAGGGTCAATGATGAGGATTTTGAGGTTAAAGTGTTACTGAAGTTTAAACGACTCTGAATGTCATGTCTGTATATCTTGCTGAAATGTTTAAATTGGAGCGGTTTTATTTCAACAGTTGACAATGCTTTGCACAAAGTTGTTTGGTTTATATTCAGTTATTTTTTGTTGATTTTTGTTAGGAAAAATCTGGAATAATTGACTTTGCCTTCAGTCTAAATTTTTGTTGGATATCACGCCTTTGGTTGTGTAAGTTTGATTGTTGGTTACACTTTTTCACTACTTTCTGTTTTTATTTGCATTTTACATCCTGTCCCAGCTTTTTTGCAATCAAGGTTTGTAAACTGGTATGTAGCTTGTCTACTTTTTAAGTGATCAAGCACTCAATTCTTATTTTCTTTCCCATTCTCGGGGGGATCCACCCATTGTTTCACTTTCCACAAAGTGAAACAATTCTGTTATATTCACATATATCTTCCTGCTACTCATAATCATAAGCAGATAACACCCACTCAAAAACAAGTGCAACTTTGTAACAGAAGGAGGACTGAGTAGTATTAAAATGAGCTGGCTGAGTCTCCTAAACTTTTCACAACCATCTTGAGCACGAGTGAGTAACAATCTTAGGATAAGACGTAAGCATTAATGTGTAGGTTTGAAAGAGTAGGGTTAAGTCACAGGACACTTAATACAGTTATTAAGGCACAGACAGAGGGAAGGCTTCATTTACAAGCAGGGACAGCATGCAGATCCTGCACATGTGAATTCAGGCCATTTTTCAATGAAAAAAAACAACCACATGTACTGAAGCCACAGGACCCCAATGTAGGCTATGTTAAAGATTCACAACACTGTCCTTTACAATCAGTTCAATGTCACAATACAGAAAGACAGCATAATTCAAAAAACCATTGCATTTACAGTAGAGGACTCAGAATGCACAGCAAAGCAGCCAACGAGCTTTATCCATTAAAAGAATTAAATTCCTCTCAAAAGCCTACCACAAACCTTGAGACTCCAGAATTCCCGAAACTGTGGATGGATGGAAAGATGGCAGAAAAGTGAGGAAGAGCAGATGAGATGGAGAGGACAAATGAAAGGGAGGAATGTATGGGCTTATGAAACTAGTTTGACTTTTGAAAATTGCATTTTAATAATTTTCAGCCATTTACAACATTGAATCTGAGCAATAGCTTTGACCTTAAAGGGAAATAGTAATTAAATCACATGTTTAAAGGTGCTGTGTGTAAGATTTAGTGGCATCTCTTTCCAAGCGTGTAGCAGAACCTACGCTACACTACGCTTTCCAAGAAACATGGGGCACAACATAGCGGCCTCTGTTGGAAGAGGATCTGCTCCCTATTAAGATATGAAGGGCTCAATCTAAGCTAATGAAAACATAGTTTTCATTTCAGTTTATAGTTTATAGGTGATTACATACTAATGGAAAAATGGTTTTGTATATCATATTCTATTTCTGCTAATATATCCCCCTAAATCTTACACACTGCACCTTTCTTTGGCTAAATTACTCTTTAACAGTTACAATTGTGAAATCATTTCTAGGGGACAGTCCAGTATAAATGAATCCAAAACCGGGATAAAGCTGTGCTTGGAAAACAAGAACATAGTGTTAGTAATGTTAGTATCAGCTGTTAAGAGCGCACAACACAGAAGATATTCACAGGAAGCAAAAGCAAGCAATAGCAGCGCAAATGTAACTTACTTAACCTTACTTTACATTAGTTTACAATAACGTTTACAGGTCTATCCTTGACTAAGTTCCATATGCTGTTTTTTGACACCATACAGTAACCTTAGTGCTCTGTTCTTTCAGAAGACAATCACAGCACAATATATGTCTGAATGAATTCACCATAAATAATGCCCAGAGACGTTCTGTGAATACTGGAGCTGGACAGTAGCGTACCTGTCCCCCGACAGGTAGAGGGAGCTATAGGGCCGAAGGCCCGACAGCAGGGTTTGGTAGTTGTGAAGAACCTTCTTGGTGTTACGCTGCCGTTGGAGGTGACTGAACAGTAGCGTCAATTCTCTGACCCATGAGCAAAAAAATAAAAACATGACAAAGGAAAAAATAAACTCATAAAATGAGAGCAAACTTATCAACCAAAGCCACACTTAAAACGACAGAGATATGGATTCAGGAAATTATATTTGCACATAATTGGTTTAATAATGTAAAGCAGATGTAACAGAATACACTTAAATACTCATACTTCAATTAAGTCTGTACTGTAAGTAATTTACATATATTCTGTCTTTTTAAACAAAAGATAATTAGTCAAATTAATTTTGAAAAAGCATGTGAACACAAAGGAGTAACAGCAATGAAGAAAATTTCAAAACCAAATTTAGCGGATTGACAAATTTGGGATTTGAAAATAAAACCAGATAATAGTGAGTTGAAGGCCCTGATATCTTTCAGGGGGTAAGACTATTATAAATTCTGTTGTGTGACACATAACTGTCTGCTCATATCAAATAATAAAACTCATCAGTAGTAGCTCAGAAATTATTTACTTTCAGCTATTACTGCATACAATGTCCCTGCACACTGAAAGAATAGTTATATTTTTCTTCTTCTACTGTTCGTAAGAACCAATGTTAAAATAAAAATGGAAATAATAATAAACATTTAAATTTGATCATTTTTTGAAAACATAGGCCAAAATGAAAGGTTGTTTAAAGTATAAAAGGAAGGAATGGTCTAAATGGCTCCTTAATTTTTAGTAGGCTCAGGTCAAAGTAGTGACATTAACACTATTAAAATCAGATTTAAAGTGAGGATGGTAATTACATATCCAATTACTGGGCCACTGACACCACAGCAGGGCTTTTTTGTTCATATACTAAAGGTATTAAGAGTAAGATTTATTTTGCCAGCAAAATTTAGCAAGCAAAATTGCACTCATTTCAACTGAACTTTTTTTTCAACTGAAGTTTTGCAGATTTCCGCGAAACTTGATCGACTTTCAGTTAACTTTGACATACGAATTCAAGTCGTCAGCCAAAATCATTATTGCTTTGGATGTGTAATCTCTAAAGGGGTGTGGCACAACCATCTAAACATTTCTTACCCATTTGCTTTAAATAAACACATAAAACAGAGACTGTATGATATGTAGTCATTTGGAGGACTGTATTAGAAGGTATAACTTCTGTATTAGAAGGTATAACTTTGGTGTTTTTACTGTTTATGGCAGGCAAGTTAGCCAGCTTGGTAACTGCTAGGTTAGCTGCTTGACTAAGTGCTGCTGCAAACACCAGTCATGCTACTTTTGCGAACCACAGCAGTTATCCACACCTGCTATAACTCAGTGTGCAGCAGTGTGTATCTATTCATCTGGCATAATTCTGCTTACTTTTTGTGTTTTTTATTACTTATTATTGGTGAGTTAGACTAACTCTAACTGGGTGTTGCTACACACACCAGCCATACAATTTTGATGTATGTCATTGGTTAGTTGTGTCAGTTATACTGAACGATGGAACGATAATGTCATCACATCATTATAGCACTCACATGTTCTGATGTAAATTAGCAAAAAAAAAAAATCTAATGAAATAAAAAAAGCAAATCGCTTTGCATGACACCATCATTCACGTCACATATACGCTACTTAAAAATTCAGCACCCCTTATTTAAAAAGCAGATTTAGAAAATTTGTCCAGAAATACCACCACCTACATGGCATCTGATGCCATGGCTTCAAACTGCTATAACACGCTGTATTAGCGTCTCAGTTCAAGCTAGTTAACATGGAAGACCTAGTGATGGGTGATGGGTGAGTGGTATTTAAATTATTAAATAATATTTTTTAATTTGTGAATGAATATCTGTTGAGGTGATTTTACATCTGACAGAAAATTTCTGAAGCAGGTGGAATGTTTTCTTCCCTTTATATGCTACATAATATCAAATCAAACCTCTCAAAAAGTAAAGCATTTATAAGGCTAGTACATGAGATGGTTCAGTTTGCACAGCACACAGGCAGGAAGCTCAGGACATAGGTGGGAACTGCTGGACAGATCATACTTACCTAAACGATGGTAACATACTGTCGTAGAAATACCAGGTAGCTGTAAGATATGAATGCTGAGCATCTGTAGAATAGAGACGCCACGCAGCCTGATAAACACACAAATACAGACACAAACATTTGCAGATCTTGACTTAAAAAACACTTTCTTGCACTTTATAAAAAAGAATCCCACCATAAAAAAATTTCATAAAGTATGTAAAATATAGTGTTAAATAACAACACACGTTTAGTGTATATACAGGTAATTCCCCCACTTCATATATAATTTTTTGTTTTATCTGTAAAAAATGTTTTTTTTTTACCCAAAAGTGAAAATTCTGCATTATAACAGAGTATAAAAAGTCATATTATGTTTTATGAAGCATTCTACTACCTAAAAAGAAATACTTCATCTTTATCATCACAGCTAACTAGTTAGCTAAGGTTAGCTACCACTAGCTAGCAGACTGCACCTGAATTTTAATCAAGTTTTTTGTCAAAATGTTACCATTTTTGAGGAACTATAGCATATGCTGACATAGATTACATTACCTATCATCACATTAACAATAACAAATCACTATAAAACTGAGGCCAAAAGAATATCAAAATGGTAGCTAACATTATGTTAGCTTGTTTGTGAACTTAATGGCCACTTTAATTATGCTAACTTTATCTAATGTTTAAGGTTTATAAATACTGTTGCTACATCTAAATTAATATTACATATAATTGCTGTTATATTAAACCATATTGTCTGTGAACTTATCATTTATACTCTCTCTTGATGGTGGTGTAGTTTTCTCTCATTTGACTTGTGCTGCAGCAGCAAGCTGTGAGGCAACAGTTAAACCATCCAGCATGCAGTGTGTGCTTGGGAATCAGGATAAATTACAGTGTAATGCTAAAAATGAAAAAAAAACTGTTCGAATTGTACAGAATAGCCCGTAAAAAGATGGATATTTTTTACTGCGTGAGGTGCATTGGGTACAGTAGGCAGGTGTTCTGTGGATCAGGTCATCACCTGTATGAGGTTGGCTGCAGGAGTTCTTCTCTTCTCAAAGTGCTTCTGTCTGTGCTGTTCCTGGACTTTCAGAGCAAAACCTGAACCTAGGATCCCCTTGAAGAACAAAGAGGCATTAGCTGAACTGTGACTGGTCTAGACTGGAGAAAGTGAGCAGACAGTAGGCTAATTAGTGCACTTACTGCGGGCAGGGCAAAAAAAGAGACCCCTAACAGGGCAAAGCCGGCTGCTAAAAGTCGACCAAGCCAGGTATGTGGAGTCTTGTCACCATAACCAATCGTGGTGAGGGTTATCTAGAAGAAGACACTGTGTGTAAGGAGACAGGGTTCCTACAAATGTTGATGGAGCACATCTGTTTTCCCTTAATATCTTTTCTAATTTCTTTAGAGTCACTATTTTAAACAGTGTGAATTAAGTCAAGGACAGTGGCTCTGTGTTTGACTGTACTCACAGTTCCCCACCAGAGGGAGTCTGCATAGGTAGAGAACTCTGTGTTGATGTCCTTTTCAGCCAAATAGACCAAAAATGAGGCAAAAATCAACACCAGGAAGCCAATGTACCAGGCTGTAATAAGCTCCTAAAACAGAATAGAAGATGGAGGAGAGAGCTGAAAAATCTTTGTCTCAATATGCTTCAGAATTCAACACTCAATGAATTCAGCAACATTACAAATTCTATGACTTCACCATTTACTTTCAGCCTGAATTAGCTTCTCTTATTGCTTGGCAAAACAGCAAGGCCATGTGAGAGCAAGGAGATGCTAAAAAAGCAACTGTAATGGGGTTAAGGAAAGTGTCCCGTATGTCTGTGTGTGTGTGATCACCTTGCTGTGAGCATACACTACAGAGCCCAGCAGTTTCCAGGTGCCTCCGCGGCGGTCCATGCGTACCATGCGCAGGATCTGTAGGAATCGCATGCTGCGTAGAGCAGACGTGGCAAAAATGTTCCCCTGCGTGCCCGCCGCTATCACAGCCACCGATGCCACAAACACTATGAAGTCTAGAGACACAAAGACAAAGAGACAATGAGTATGTAATGCCCTGAACAATTTCCCCCTGGGATTGAAGGACTACAGCAGTGTTTTTCAACCTAACCTCTATCTGCTGGATCTGTACAGTCTACAGTCAGTTACCACACACAATAATTTGTGATGATAATGATGCATTTCCCTGTAGTTTGAAAACTCCTTGACCTGAAAAGCTCTTGTAATAGAAACCATGAGGTAATTGCTGAATTCTGTTAGCAAACATTTTTGCAAAAGATGCATTTTTGTAGAACACATTAAACTCATTAAATCTTCAAAGATAAATTAAGCACAAACCTGTACAATTAATTCTTTCAGAGACAAGATGACTAGTTTTCCAGAAGGTAGAATTGGTAGTAATACCTACTGATTTAAAACTCAGAGCATAAAACATAATAAATTGTTTGATTTCTCTTTTTACTTTCAGTCTGAGTTTATTTCTTTTACTGCTTAGCAAAGTGACATATAAGGGCAAGGAGACACTGCCAAATAGAAACTGGAACGGGGTTAAGGTAAGTGCACTGCCACTGTATGGTTAGAGTGTAATGGTTGTAGTGCAATGGTTGAATTTGTGTTATATAGCCATGCATTTTAAATGATTATTCGTGGATTTCAGCAACTGCCCAATGGCTTCTATTATATGTGAGTTTCAAGTCAACAGGTATTCAGGTATTAATTAAGTACAGGGAAACATATTGCACTTACCGTCTGTAAAACAGATCTGGTAATACAGAGGTGGCACATAGAAAGTAGGTTGAAAACTGGAATATTCCTTTAAATAAAACATTTACCTGTCTGTCTATATGTCTGTCTGTCTGTCTGTCTGTCTATTTATATTACTGTACAAAAGTTAAAGACTTCCTTTCATTTATTTAATTCCCAGTTAAACCAGCCATTAAGTAAATGTATTCATTTCAGAAAACATATATTTAACAAATAATTACACAGATGCCTCAACAACCAATAATATAAAAAATCAGTATTTAGCGTGTCCACCCTCTGCCTTCATTACAGATTCCATTCTTTTCAGGAAGACCTGCATTCAGTTTATCAAAGAAGCGAGAGATATTTTTCCACACCTCCAAAGTTCAGTCGTAGACGTTGGTTGCATTTTCTGCTTCTCATGATCAAAGTAATCCCAAACGCATTCAGTGATGTTGAGGTCTGGACTTTGGGGTGACCAGCATTGTTCTGAGAACACCAGCAGGTTCTTTGTTTGATCTGCAAAGTTTCTTCTTTTTGACTATTTCCTGTTTTCAGTAACAGCTTCTTGACAGCTTCACATCCTTTGAGGCCCATAGTGTTGAGCTGTGGGTAACACTTTATTTTGAAAAGCCACTGTAGATACTTTGTAGATGCTCAGTCTGTGTTTAACATTGAACTAAATACCTATTAAATGCAACTAAACCTAAAGTTAATTGTGATAGATTCTATTAAATCTAATCCTAACCCTAACCTTAACTTCAAACCTAACCCTACAGCTATTCTTAAACCTAATGGTGTTGAGTGTCATCAGAACGTTTGTTAATAATTTGAGTATCTGTAGATCATGTAGAGGAGATGAAAATTAAGTGTGACGGAGTTGTCTTCTCACAGTGGAAGGATGGACAAAACACTTGTGTTTTTTAAGATCTCCTCAAAGAAAGCAAACAAATGAATGGTGATCTATCTATCAATCTATCTATCTATCTATCTATCTATCTATCTATCTATCTATCTATCTGTCTGTCTATCTATGGATTGATTGCTCAATCTATCTGTCTGTCTGTCTGTCTATCTATCTATCTATCTAATTCTTGTGAAGAGTAAACATATGAAACCTCATAGTTGACAGCAGACACATGCCTTACCTATAACACAGAAGGGTTTCCTGGCGAAGCGCAGTCGCCCCTGCCATCCTCTGTAGCGACAGCAGCAGCCAGCAGCCCAAACCCTCACGAAGTACTCCAGCCCAAACACCACAATCATCACAAACTCCTGCAGGACACACAGCAGAGACCAGTCAGTATTCTGTGCTCAGCTGCTTTCTCCAACTATTTCCAACATTGTACTGCGTGATATGAAATAGAAGGACAACAAAAAATTGTACATAAGCTAAACTTTCACAACTACCTGTGTGACACAGCAATAAATACGCTACCTCAGAGATTTTACCCCTCCAAGGAAGTCTTCCTTTTTCCAAGAAAATGAATAACTCTCAAGTGTTGTTTAAAAAAAGTTTTACATGCCAAAAGTTAAATATAGTTTCAACATCCAGTGTGCATCTAACTCTGCTGAAAAAGTCTTCTACCAAAAAATAATCCTCTACCGAAACAGGTTACAATGTTAAAAACAGACTTGTCTCACTGTGTTTTTTCTTTTCAAATGTCTGCATTTTACTGAGGGTATACTATGCCACAGCACTTACAGATGGAGATGGACAGAAAGAGAAGAACTGTGGCTTATCTGACTAAATGCGGACTCATGAGGAATTTGATGGCACTTGAAATGTTCACATTGTGCCATTTTCATAGCATGCTCTTCCTTTGCAGTTTAGATTTATATAGGTCTACTTTAGATGCTGGTATTGACTAATTCTAATGGAATTCCTGGGAGCTCATAACATGATTTGAAAAAAGAGGGAAATGCCAGGCAACATATTTCTTTGCCATTAGAGAGAGAGAGAAAGAGTGTCTTCCATTACCTCCCTCAAAAGCACTTCATACTGAATGGGTGATTATAGGATTGCCGTTAAGATTAGTGGCTCGAGACGGCTACTTCTTGCACGCTCAACAACACCTGAATCCTGTGCTGTGCTTACACTGCCATTTCGCTCTGTAAAGAGCCCGCTAGAAAACAAGATGCACACTTACACACACTTAATGTGGCCACAAGGAGACATGAGACAGTACAGTCCAGCTTGCAACCTGCCAATCACGCCAATCAGCGTGAGAAATGAGCTCAACTTGAGAGGCTGCTGTAGGTAAATCGTATCATAGCAAAAATGAATGTTCAAAGACGTCTCTTTTTCTTTTCTACGAGTACATCGAAAAAAAAAAACAACAAAAACAAACATGTATCCAAGATGGCAAACATTGCCAAACATTTGATTCTTCACTTCTTAGTTTCCTAATTAAACCTAATCTCTCTTTTCCTTTCGTAAAGCTACTTGTTTACGTTTACAAAGCACCAAATTGTGCCAACATGATAAAGCTTAGTAAAAACAAAGGACTGCAAAAAGGGCTGCAAACACGGCACATTTGATCCATACTGCTGGCAAATGAAAAATGGTCCCTATTCATCACTTTTTTTAAGGCACACCTCCACAAATGACACCCAAAGATATATACACTGCTATTGGATACTGTGAGAAAAGCATTGTCAGGTTTTTAAAACAATGTTCGTTTGTATGTTTTCATTTGGAAACAATAGAGACAATGCAAATCGGATGCATCTGGACGAAGGCTCTCCGAGACTACAGCCCGCAAACTAGATCTTTACTTTGCTCTACAGTTTGCAAAGAATGGACTGAAGGTCTTTTTAAGGTAAGATAGGCTACAGATTACCACTCCTTATTGTGCTTATGGTATCACATACTTTAAGGCTTATCATTTGAAACAACAAAGTAAAACAAGGGGAATCAAAGATGGAACCTGAATGCGCATGACTAAACAACAGTGCATCAGCTAGGAGTGCACGGTGTATTAGAGACGTAAGTGATTGCATAGGGGTGTGTGTGATGTAGAATGTCACTTGGACATTCACTCAAAAAAGCTTGTTGTCTGTACGAGTTCCTACTTTCATTTTATCTTCCCGAAAACATTATGGCACAAATGTGGTAAGATTCTATGGTAAGTTTAATTTTGAACCCTCTCTAACAGTTAAAGCGACAGTTCAACAGAAAATCGGGCACCAGTTAGCATTCTTCAAACTGCATGCTTGAATTATCACACACTTGCCTCAAACTAAATCAAGTTATTAGCAATTAAAATAGATTTGCTTTTGTGCTTTTTCACATTGCATGACAAAAAAATCTGTAAAATGGACAAAAGTACATCACATAGCTAAAAACAGCAGTAGCAGCCATCTTGAAGCATGGCCGTAACTAGCTATGAGGACACAGAGGTCTGGACCTCGGTAGTTTCAGAAGGATTCGGAAGGGTTTTAAGAGATTCAGTGTGGTAAAAAGCAACACAAATACCGAATGAGCAGTGACTGATTCTCAGCTGACCTCAGAACAGCTGTGGCTCAGCCAAAGACTTAACTGCTCACTCTGTTTATCTCTGTTTGAGCCGCTATACTACTCAGAGAACCAGAGTAACTGACTTCTTGAGATGTTCAGGTATCGCTATGGAAAAAAGGAGCTAGCTTATAATTTATGAGTGCAATTAATACATTAAGATTGTAAAATGCAAACCCTATATTTCATTTTCTGTTTGGGCTGCTCATAATGTTTCTGGCCAAATCAGCATGCTTTAGTCTAGCTCCAATAACTGCTCAGGTTATGCTACCGGCTCCGGAGTTACCTATATTGGTGATTAGATGAGAAATTAAGGTTGTATTGTGTTACCTACACATAACATAACATTGAATTATGGAAGAATGGAGGGATGAGGAAGGAATAAATTAAATGAAAAGATGCATAACAGTTATCGATGTGTAAAAAACAAAAACAAACAAACAAAAAATACTCATATTCAGCAGTTTATTCACTCTGAATGGGAGTTTATTCTGCAAAATGGACCTCACTAAAATTTTCATCCTAGTTACGGCCCTGTCTTGAAGCCTGAATTTGTCTGTATACTTGTTCACTATTATAGATAACAGCTTGTCACACAGTGTCAGAAACTACATAAGCAAGTATATTTGAGATTAATTAATAAATTAACAAAGTTTGAGGTACATGTGTGATGAATTGGGCGTGCACTTTGCACAAAGCTCTGGTTTCCATAAACTTCCATTATTTGTTAGTTACCATTGCCTCATAGCTCCAGCTCAAAGTTAGAGGAAGAACTGTGTAAATTAGACTTTTCACCAAACTATCACTTAAATGCATTAGATGCTATGATTTACTACCATATATTGGGGCATTTAGCAATTGGTCCTCTTACCAGGATGAAGAGCCCCTCGTTGGCGGTTTTCTGATGGCTGGGAATGGTGGAGAAGACAGAGAGCACCAGACAGCTGAACACCAGCAGAAAACTGCAACGCACAAACACACACACACAGACAAACACAGGTCAATGCCCATACATGACCACAGACACAAGACCTACATTCAAATATCTAGACTGAACTATCAACACATTTATTTATTGTCTCTTAGTCTAAATTATGAATCCAATGTGAAATACCACATGCATGCATTCTTTTTTAATTCTAAGTATGAATCAAACTACAGGAAGAGAACACAACTGTAAGCTTGCTATACTGACGACATGTTTGACACAGATTAGGAAAAAGTATGACAACAGTATGACATTAACACAAGAGATAAAAACACCAACAGATTACGGTGAGGCACAACAGGAGCGCAAATGAAACACAAAGAAATGGCCCATCACCACTGATGCTGCATGTTGGCTAAGTCCAGTACTGACTCCAGTGCACTGGACAGTGACTCCTTTAATTCAAACTGGCACTGGGGTCCACACACAGATGCTCATAATCACCACTGCCATGGACCTCGCTCGGAATGCCTGACACCTGGCTTGGAAAATATACAGGCTAACGGAAGGGATTAGAGCTCCACATCCTGGCCAACACTTGGCCGTGGGTGAGAAATTGCACTGTTTACTAATTACTCAGTAGAGTTTTAGCCAAACTACAGCTGTATTTCTGTGTGGACTAATGATATGCATTCAGAAAAAGGGAAAAAACAAACTGTATAAATATATTGGCTCTTTTACTGCCCTGCTGCAGCTCCACAGCAGAATTAGATTTTTTAGGTAAAAATAATCCTCCTTTGCAGTGAAATAAAGCTCTGCTGATCATTCTAACACAGTTTTGGAAATAAATGGTCTTAAATGCTGGAGTTAATGTAGCCTATAACTGCTAATTCACTAATGTTTGACCCTGAAGATTGGCACGCAGACTGCTGGTCACACAACAACACAGCAACGCAGACAACAATCTTGCCTAGCTAGCAGCTAACAAAAAGGCAAAGAGAAAGATTTAAGACAAACATTGATAATTTGGAGACTAATGGACTTATTTGCATTATAAGCACTCAGCTCGTTTCCTGACATGTTTAATCTGCAATGAGAAACTGTCAAACACTAAAAAAAAGTCACGAGGCCAAAGTCAGCTTCTTATTCGAATTTTCCCGTTCCACCTTAAATGGTGCTGCAGTTACATTCTGGTGCCTCAGGCCCCATTTAATGTGAAACAGGGAAAATTCAAACAAGAAGCTAGAGAATGAGAAGCTGACTTCAGCCTTGTAAAAAATCCAACATTGAGAGGTGTTTTATAAGAAACTATTCTACTATTGCAGAAACGTTTCCTGCCAGAGATGCGAGAAAAGCAGCTATAGCTGAGCTAAAGCTTAAAGCAGACCAAGGAAGTCTGCGTTTTCATTCATATTATATATATTTTATATTTTTTAGCATATAGTAGTACATTAGCACATATTGAGACATACAGCCAAGATAATAAAATTGGCATAAAATGTTGTGGCTCTCAAGATTTTTGTTGAAAGGACAAATTGGCTCTTCTTACCATTTGGGTTGCTGACCCCTGGGCTAGGCAATATGACCATATTTATCACTATTGTGATAAATTATGTCACATTACAGCACAATATGATTTTATTGGCATATAATAGATATCATCAGTACTTAAAAAACAGTGACCAACTGCATGTTTCACTACAAAGATCATATACATACATACATATCGCCACACCTACACACTCTTAAAAATAAAGGTGCCAGAAAGTTCTTTGCAGAAGAAAAGATGTGAGAGTGTGAAGAACTTTTTTAAAATTTTAAAAACCTCTACAAATATACGGTTATATGGTTCTATACCAATTACGTGTTTTATATTATGACTGTGCATCCAAAGCAGGCCATTCAGTAACCTTTCTCTTTTAGAGTGTAGATTCAATCTCATTAGTTAATATGATAACAGGTGTTTAGATGAGTTATGTTAGTGTAAGTGGATTAATGTTATGCATCTCACTGACTTTTATGCAACTGTGCTCCATTTATTTCCTGAAACATATACACTCAATACTTTAACAAAATCAAACACAATTTACAGCCTTTAATATTCAAATGATACTAAAGACCCTCTGAACACATCCACCTCTTTGGAAACAGGTGTTCTCAGACGAATTCCATGAAACAAAGGCTACAGTGTGTTGGATCTGCACTCCAGTTCATGAAGTAGCTTTTGGATCAACTCCACAGCAGCAGCTGGGGACAATGCCAGATTCTACAAGGAGCCGACTCTCAGTTCATTACATATCATTCATATCAGTCCTCCACTCAGTCATCTGGCAAGCTAGACTGTGTCATTCCCTACTGTTTTAGTTTGTGCAATATGACCACACATGGAGAGTGTAAGTGTGGAAGTAATCGCTTAACATGCTTGTTTTGAGAACCACAGGGTGAGTAGCATCACAGACGTTAAACTCATTAGCATCAGAAGTGAAAACAAATTATACACTGTCCTTTAAAGAACATCATGAAATGAGGCACAGTTGATGTTTGACATGCAGCTCCCACAATGCTTGACATGCTGATAGAACCACAATCATTGAATGAACCAATGATGTTTCAAGTTTCATATGTAAATGAATATTCCTGTTCTGATTTCCTCAGTGAGGAAGGATTTTCAGACTGGAGCCATTTCTGAAGTTCCGCACTGCCTGTTTTGGTCGGAATACAAGCAGCTGGTACTGAGGACAGCAGAAATCATATTTAGAGAGTGAGTGGGATGTGCTGAACTAATGACACAGCTAGAGAGAGAAAAGTGGCGGCCAAGAAGGAACAAATGTCAGCAAGATTACTGGGATTATGATCTTCCTAATTATCTACTTCAAGAGTAATTTGTTGACATTAATTACTATCATTATAGAAACAATTTGTAAGTTACCAAGTCAGGTAGAGGGGACGGTTCAGTAGCTGGCAGAGGGGATACATACCTGTTATCTGAAGCAGGTACATTTCAGGGCCTGATTGAACATGAACAAATACAACTTTTTTCCAGTAATGCATATATGGCTGCTGACTGGGGTTAAACACCGGGAGGTGGGTATCGTGGGTGAGTATATATGTATGATTCTTAATAATGTAGAATTTTCTTTATCACACACATAATTCTTGAGTTAAAGTGAAAGTGACTGGGTCTCTATGCTGCACCTCCCTCCCCTTACACTACATATTGGGAACTCTACTCTAATAAACATTTTAGTTTAGCTGTAGCTTCATCTCCCTCATTATTGCCATCCTGGCTACAAAGGAGGTTTTAAACTGGAACGAAAACCTTTAAACTAGAAAAATGTAATTATCACCATATATATTGCAGCAGAAATTAAAACTCCAACAGCAAATGTAATGATTTCAGTCAACTATTATTCATTTATGTAATTTACTAATGAGGTGCTTACAAGCTACCAGAAAAATCATGAGATAACAAAGTAGATAATGTGATCGCTTTGCACTGCTGTCATCACTTATGAGCAGATCATATGTGGGGAAATGGGAAAATTGATTATATTAGATGTGTCCATAAAGAATATGATCTGAATCTACTGAGATGATAATAAAATTTTAATTTAAAATACAATAAAAATGTTAAAGTAAATTAGCTTAACTTCATGCTGTACCAACATGCCAGGCTACGTATAAACGGGTAAAGAATCATCGAGTCAAATATGTGCCTGCAGAAGCAGCAGTTTTCCTAGTCCAACTGTTAAACACAGTTTCACTATTGCAGCTATTTTCAGGCTGTTCTGTGCAGTTTCACTTTTTTCAAGCTTTGCACAAGTATTGGAGATGCATTGTCTCCTTAAACTTTAGTTTTTGATTTGCATGATTTTATTGACTTTATTTACCCAATGACAGCTGGGATAGGCTCCAGCATCCCACCGCGACCCAGAAGGATAAGCGGTTTAGATGATGTATGTATGTATGTATGTATGTATGATTTTATTTACCATTGAGAGTGAAAAAAAGCCTAAAAATCTGTTTAGAAAAACCTGGGAAAGAGTTGTGTGTTTAGGTTTATTTTATTTAAATAACTTTTTTAATATATGACAGCACTCAGTCAGTGACCACACTAATAAACATCATCTGAAAATTGTAAAAAGGGGTAAATGTGCACAAAATGGACAACAAAGCCTCAGAATGTTAACAGAGCACTGGGCAGAAACAGTGGTGTGACCATGTCAGAAGATTTAGGGGTCATGTGTCACACATTCTTCCACTGCTCAGCCCGCCTCATTAGTCATTAGCTCCAAACTGATATTAGGTAAAAAAAAAATCCCAGTAAATCAATACGAGAACTGAGAGCCAAGCTCCAGCGTTCCAGTCCTGAATCAGCAGCTATCAGGCTGGATGGAGGGAGGCATGTCCAGAAACCGCTCAGATTCCCCCAAAGCCACCCAGCCAAAAATGATGAACACAGTAAAAAGACAGATACATTAGAGCATGCACAGACCATGTGCACTGGGTCACATTTCAGCTGAGAGGCAACTTTCAGGTCCACTCTCTGAGCCCTTTCCAGAGAAAAAAGTCAATTAGAAAGAAAAACAGAAATTAAATCTTCAAAATCAGCAAAAAAGATAGTCCCATGTGGTCAAAACGAAGCACTCAGAAGTGATTTTCCAATCCCTCCAAACAAGCACACAACCTGGCTGTTTTACAGTAATTAGGTACGCTTTACATAAGAAATTATAGGTTACGTCTGCTGATAGTAAATGAAATGAAGAAAGTTGCTAAGCACACATACTAAATGTTTTGTTTCTCAAAGAGGTTTCCAAAAACTGGAAGTGATAGGCAACTAGCAACCAAAGCAGTTCTGTCAAATCAGAAGAATGAGTTTAAAATCATAAACAACATGAGTTACTTTCATTTTAGATCACTGGCAATTTCATCCAATCAGTTTTAATGGGTTTTTTATGAAATACATAATCTAGTATAAAAGTACAAAAATAAAAATACATATTATTTTAGTATTTTCTTATTTTAGGCTTCAGC